CCCCCCCCGTATCTTTATTTCAACAAGTTTTACACAGATAGTAGGTTTATTGCATAGGGCAGGTGCTTGCACAAAAGACACAGCAAGAGCTGGAAGGTCGGTTTAGATCACATCTACATTATTAATTGTTATGAATAAATTATAGCTCGGATCTAGTTTTTGTTTTTGTTTTCCACTTTTGAAAGAGTTCTGATAAAAGGTCATTTATCTAGCATTCTAAATATTCAAATTATCCAAACAGAAAACTGTTCAAAAACAGTGGTTTAGAATCAGTTAAAAAAAAGTATCTTTGTAGGGTGCCTGGGTGGCTCAGTTGGTTAAGCACCTGACTTTGGCTCAGGTTGTGATCTAGTGGTTCATGGGTTCAAGCCCCACATCAGGCTCTGAGCTGACAATCTACTTGGAACTCTCTCTTTCCCTCTCTCTCTGCCCCCTACCCCACTTACACTCTCTCTCTCAAGAAGTAAACAAACTTAAAAAAAAAAAAAAAAAGTATCCTTGTAATAATGAAGGATTTATCTTCTAACAGGGAGATACCCTCCAAAATCTAACGATGTCACTGTGGCCCAACCTATGTGATTTGGATAGAGTTGTACAAATCCTAATTGAGAACATTGATATAAAAGATCACACTGGCACCTTACAAATGAAATATATTTTATGGCCCATTCTCTCAATAAACAGTGCTTATGCATACTGTAAAGAAAAACCAAGAAACTGGACCCAGAAGATATTGGGCCTGCATCGGGGCTGTTATGGGAAAAAAGACGTCTGTTTAGTTTCAATGAAAAGCCTGGATGTATTCCTGAAACTAATGTAAATTGTGTCCACTGTATTTCAATAAAAATACGATAAAATAAAATATTAGAAAAAGAGACTGGGGAGCCTGGCTAGCTCGGTTGGTAGAGCACGGGACTTTTGATCTCAGGCTTGTGGGTTTGAGCTCCAGGATGGGTGTAGATATTACTTGAAAATTAAAAATAGATCTTTAAACAAACAAACAAACACACAAACAAAAGACTGGGTGTGTTGTGAAAAATGGGTATGTCAAGAGCACTTCAACTTTTGCTTAGAATGACCGTTTTGGACGATCGAAAATTCATGACAGAGTCACAGAAAGATTAACTTATGCAGTTTGGATTCAAAAGAGTATCTTTAAAAAGAGTATTAAATGATCTCTCAACAACGGTAACCTTGAGCAAGTGGCGTGAGCATGGTTCTGTCGGCATGGGAGGTCAGGGTTTCCTATCCAGGGTGGGTCCATGTCAAATAGTCCCATGCTAATGGAGAAGGCAGACTTCTGATACCAAGCATTAAAAACCCCAGAAGAATGTGATTATTTTTTTACTTTTAAATGTTTATTTACTTTTAAGAAGGAGAGAGAGAGAGCGAGAGAGAGAGCGGTGGAAGGGCAGAGAGAGAGAGGGAGACACAGAAGCTGAAGCAGGCTCCAGCTGTCAGCACAGAGCCTGCTGCGGGGCTTGAACTCATGAACTGCGAGATCATGACCTGAGCCGAAGTTGGCCCCTGAACCAACTGAGCCACCCAGGCGCCCCTGATCATTTTTTTTTAAAGACTGGTGAACACATTCAGACATTACCACTTGCTATTTAAATGTAGCGGGGGCTCCTGATGACTCTGTCGGTTAAGCATCCAACTCTTGGTTTTGGCTCAGGTCATGCTCTCGCGCTTTTGTGACTTCAAGTCCCACATCGTGCTCTACGCAGGTAGCATGGAGCCTGCCTGGGATTCTGTCTCTCCCTCTTTCTCTCTGCCCCTTCCCCACTCAAGCTGTCTCTCTCAAAATAAATAAACCTAAAAAAAAAAAAAAAAAAAAAAAGCAGTCAACAAGGCTGTAAACCCAGTCTATATGAAAATGCATTTGTGCTTGCTGTAAGAGTTCACAGCTGGTCTAGATCCATCTCTTGACTGGCCAAGGCCCATTAGACTTGGCTTTTGTCTCTCAGGTATTCAGTAGGACGGAGTCATGCTATATGGATACTCATCTGCACACACCAGGTTAAACGTTAAAAAGAGAAATATTTGAAAAAATCCAAAATAAATAACACGCAAGGTTCTGCCACCTGTTGGCTTCTGTGCCCTTTGGTCTTAAGTGAGCACGATCCAAGAGCTGCGCATCAAGCTTAGCATGCACATCTTGCTATGCTGAGTGTGATTCTGAACACAGTGAGCTGAGTGCAACTTAACAAAGGATTCCACCCCTAAACACAAGTCGTGGTTTTTGTTTTTTTTTTTCCCATCTGCTGCACAACCCCCCAAACCAGCAATTTGATCCTATGGAAAAACAACTCGAGGTGCTGAGATGGTATTCAGTGGCTCATCACCACAATCACAATGAACACAGCACCTGTCCCCGAGGAGAGGGACCGAATGGACAACAAAAAGGAACAAGTGTAACGGTAAGTGCCAAGGTGGTGAGCCAGGCCTTCGGAAAGACCATAAAAGTGTATCCGTGACTATAAGACAGAAATGTGAGGGGTACAGCCCCCAACAACAGTAGGCAGATTAAGAAAAAAAAAAAAAGAAAAAAGAGTTGGCCTCCACACACCCTTCAAACCACACACCATTCCATACGCTGTTCGTTGTCCCAAAAGGGCCAGCTTTCTATCTAGAGGCAATTCAAAGCTAGCTAAAGCTTGAGAAAGTGTTTTAGGATTTAAGAATTTTTATGTATGTATGTATTTATTTTTTAAATCTTTTTTTTTTTTTTTTTTGTCTTTTTATTTCTGAGACAGAGAGAGACAGAGCATGAGTGGGGGAGAGGCAGAGAGAGAGGGAGACACAGAATCGGAAGCAGGTTCCAGGCTCCGAGCTCCGAGCTGTCAGCACAGAGCCTGATGCGGGGATCGAACTCACAAACCGTGAGATCATGACCTGAGCCGAAGTCGGTCACTCAACCGACTGAGCCACCCAGGCGCCCCAGGATTTAAGAGTTTTTAGGAACTGCCTCACCCTCAAAGAAGTTGGGAGTTGTTCATGAAGCAGCAGTTTCAAAATTCCACACTGAAGTGTTCAATGCATAGAAGCGAGGGGCTATCTCCCAAACAAGTTTTTAATGGTGACAGGCATGATCTTGGCCAAATGAACTTTTTTTTTTTTTAGCCTTACCAACTAACTCACTTTCTAACACTCCCAAATGCTACTTCATGACATTTCACCCAGTGAATCCTTCCTTCACTGTCCTCAACATCCAGTGTCCTCAGGAAACCATCTAAGACTGCGGCCGCATAAAACGTACTCACCGGTGCTCACAGCGGCTGAATGTTTGTCCCTGGAAGGCTGACTGCTCCCATCAGCTCAATTGCAGACTTTCTCAAAATTTGGTTTGTTCCTTACATAGATGTCACTTTTACGTGCTACTGGGAATACGGAATTTAATAGTCCAGTACGTTAATGAAATACGAGTGCAAAAAGAAAACTTTTCATGAAAACGAAATGAACGCTTTGGAGAGACTCGACAAAGGAGAGTCACAATCGGGTTAGGCGGGGACAAAATGCCTGTAAAAACGTTGCAGGGGAAATCGTAAAAATGTGGAAATCTGCCATCGGACCGCTTCTGCAGGGATCTTTAAAGTCTCCCTCTATCTTAAAGAATCCCAGCATGGAAATTCTAGATTCGGCTGCCTTATGGGTGCGGTCTATTGCAAGAAAGATGGGGAACGCCAATCTGGAACGAAGAGTCAAAGGGAAGGTCTTGGACCTACATCAAAAGCCTGGCTGCTCGGAAAGTTTTCTTTCCAGCGACAAAGGCTGGAAAAAGCGCCGTGGTCGCCACCTACCGAGGAGGAGGGGGAGGGGGAGGATGGCCGGCGTGGTCCCCCCCGTCTCCGCTGGGGGGTAAAAATCGCAAAATCACTCGATCTTGTGCTTTACAGAACTGTCTAAGCCCTCGGGGCTCGAGTTTGGTAAACTTTGGAGTTTCGCTTAGGTGAACAGCAATGTCTCATCCTTTTCGAAATTCGAGAGCTCAAGTTGAGAAGCAAAAGAATTAGTCGCGGGGGGAGAGGTTTCGGTAACCTTTCTTCGCGGTTGACAGAACAAAACGGGCTACACGGCAGGTTTTCTGCTCTCACTCGGTGGCTTTCCCTCAACTTTCCTTCTAAATGTTGAGTGAGGGGGCGTGAGGAAGGCAAGCCTGGGGTGAGGGGCGGTAAATAAAAACAGGAGAGTCCCCTCCCGTCGCCCGTCCAAAGTTGGGGCAACAGTCTCTTTCAGACGCTTTTGAGGCAAGCTTTTCAAAACTAACAGAAGTTCTTTGTGTCCCGAAGGGTGGTGCGGCGCGGAGGAAGTCCCTTGGCGGAGCACCGAGAGCGGCAGGCCGGCTGGGGCTCCCCGGCCTCTGCCGAGTTCCGGCCTCGCAATCGGCAGGGAATCGGGGGTGCAAGAGTGGGTGCGAGTCCTGGACGGTGGCTGAGGCCGGCTGCATCGGGGCAGTGAGGGGGCGGGGGCTACCCCCGGCCTAGATTTGCGCCCCCGTGCCCCGGCTCCCCTCCCCCACCCAGGCGGCCGCGCAGGCCCCAGGTGCAGCCATGTTCTTGCTCCCACCACCCGCGCCTCCATTGACAGTCCTTGCCGGAGAGGGCCGGGCGCCGCGCTCGCCGCGTCCTCGGGTTCGGGGCTCGCCCGCGCGAGGCTTCCTGGGAGTCGTAGTCCACCGCCCCCGCCGTCGCGTTGGTGGGGACCGATCAGAAACTACAACTCCCGCTGGGCGGCGCTGCGGGTGCGCACGCGCAGCGCGCCTTCGAGGAACAAAAAAAAAAAAAAAAAAAAAGGAGGAGGAGGAGGGTGAGAGAGAAGCTCGGAGAGCAGAGAAAAGGGGCCACCGATCGCCCCCCCGCTTCCCCGCACGCGCTCTCTAGCTGAGGCCGCCCGCCTGCCGCGGTTACCCCGGCCTCTCCCTCGGTCCCCTGTGATCGGATCTAGGTGCTGAGCGAGGCCCTGCCGGGGCGGCCATGCGGCGGTGACAGGAGCTCGGCCGAGACGCCCGGGCCCCTCGCCCTCTCACCTCCTGCCCGCTCGCCAAATCGCCTCAGCCTGAAGCTGCTCCGCCGCGGCTGCAGCTCTCGCGCGGCCCACACTCGCTTCCCTTCTGCTCCCCCGGCCCCGGCGCTGCCTGGAGGCGGCTGCACTCGGGTGAGTCCCTGTAGCCTCATCCCCCGTCCCCCGCCCCGGTTGCCATCGCGAGTAGGGCCTTTATTTGAGACGCGCCCCCTCCGGGGCCTGCACACACTGGGGTCTGGGGGTCGTCGGCGGCAGTGTGGGGGTACCCGACCACCCCCCCCAACCACCCGGCCAGCCGGCGTGGGGGTGGGGCAGGAGCAGACGCGGTCGCGGGGGACGACAGTTGCACGCGCGCGCCTGGGTGCGCGTGGGGGAGGGGCGCGCGCGCTGGCGCTGCGGGGGGGGGGCCTCACGCGTGAGGCCCGCGCGCGAGCGAGCCTGCGGGCTGCGCATGCCCGGCCGCTGATTGGCCATCTCGGGCGGTGCGGGTGCGCGCGCGGTGCCAGGCCCGAGCCGTGGGGTCGCGCTCGGCCTGGTGTCTCCGGGGCTCGTGCGCCCGGGCAGCAGACGCGCCGG